AGAAGGAGAGAAGGGGCACTTACCAGAAAACCTTAATGCCCTAAGCAAACATTCAGGGTCAAGGCGCCAACACCTTGTGTAGACAACATACCGTCACAAACAGCTGGCTATCGTGCGAACATAAGGCGGCATCGGCAAGACAGCTTCCTTGAGGCTTTCACTGCCACGCGTCATAATCAGCCATAACCCCGCAGATAACTCAACACCAAACACACTTTAAAAAAGCAATCCGATTGGGAGACGGCAGCAGACGCGCCACTGGTGTCTACTGCGAGCCATGTCCCGTAAAGTCTCGAGCCAAGCACAAGGCGAGTCACGTGGACTCCAGCCCCGAAGACGAGACGGACCAACGGCACCCAGTTTGGTCGTCAGTAACTTCATTTCCCGCTGCTAAGTCAACTTATGTCCACATCGAGCTTTGCGCAACCCTACAGCTTGCAGACTAAACAAGGCCATCCTAGGTAAGCTGTGACCAGGCATACGTAGCACGTGCCCGAGAAAACGCAACTTATTCAGTGCTATCAGTTGTTCTAGGGAGCTAGCATGATTATCACTACTTAGTACTCGCCTACGCACATCATCGTTGCGGACACGTTGGTGCCATCCGACACTAGCAATGCTTCGCAAACAACGATGATCAAACACCTTAAGGTGCCTCAGATCTTCAGACCGAAGGGGCCAAGTTTCACTACCATAGAACAGAACGGCCTCACTGTGGCCTTGTATACACGGCCTTTCAGACGAAAGGAAACTCCCTTCTGTCGCCACAGATGTCGCAGGTTCAAGAAGGCAGCTATGGCCTTTGCAATGCGAGAGCTGAGGTCAGTTTCTATGCACACATCGTTGCTAACGCAGCTGCCAAGATAAGTGAATTGAGCAACTATCTCGAGCTCCACGTTGGCAAGGGTCAAGGGGTCATCAAGTGGCTGGTGGTCCTGCAGCAATACTTTGCACTTTGAAGGTGTGAATTGCATACCAAATAATGGGACCACTCTGGACAGGCTATTCAGGGTTGATTGCGCCGCCCCAACATCGTCGAAAAGCAAGACGATAACGCCCGCATAATCAAGAGCAACTAACCTTTCACCAGGCAGCACTTCAACGCCTACATCGTGAGATTCCCCAAGGAAACACTCCATGATAGAATCCACGACGAAATTGAACAAAAATGGGGAAATCGGACAACCCTGACGAACGCCACTTGTGGTGGGAAAGCTATCCGATAGGCCGATAGGCGCCTAATAGAGCATTTGGTCACATTGTGCTCAGAGCCAGCCGAGAGGTGTCTCCTAGATTCCAACAGGCTCACCGACCTCCCGGATATCCAGTGACTGGTGAAGTGACCATTGATAGTGGTACATGCAGATGCTCCTGCGTCGTGCATAGAGGCCGAGATCCTATTCCACTGAAGTTCAGTGTCAGTAGAATAAGACAGCGAAAGTTCGGTACGCAGTGCGTCTTGATAAGCTTGCCTAACCGAGGGCTGAGACAAATTCTCCGTTGCCAATCGGAGGGGACGCTTGGTGCGCTTCCCGGTAAAGTTCATGGAACGACAGCGTAGCAAGGCATGATCAGAGTCAACGCAGGTATTCCAGTACGAGCGGCAATCCGGAATGGAACCGCGCCACCTGTAACTTATGGCTATGTGGTCAATTTGGGTCCATCGCTGGCCAGCTACAGGTGGACGCCAAGTGGCACTTCGGCGCCCACTATCTAAAAGCAGTGCTACTAAGAAACAACTGGTGCTCCGCACACAGTTGCAGCAGACGCTCGCCGTTGTCAGTCCGTCCATAATTACCACCCAGCTGAGCTTCTGAAGAGCTCAGACGTCCTACTTGTGCGTTCATATCCCTGCAAGTACTATAATATCTGAACTAGTAGCACTACGTAGTAGGGCGTTCAGTTCGTGATAGAAAGTACCCTTGACAACATCTTAACTGCAGTCGGTGGGAGCATAAACGGAAATCACAAACATACAGCGTTTTGTACTATTTCGCGAATTCACCTTAGCTGATGTCGTCAAACGGGCTGCACATAAACGGCTGCTCACCGGAATCCAATCAACCAACGATGAGTCAGCCTTGGAGCTGAGAATGATACCTACATCAGCTTGACCCGTGAGTGCCGCATCGGCGTCTCCGGATGCGTGCAACCAATAACGAGAGGATAAGCCGGGTGCAATTAATTCAACAACCCCGTTAGGGTCATTGATCCTAGTTTCGGACACACAACACACATCAATACCCAGTGTGTCCAAAGTGCGTGCGAATGCAGCCTGTTGACCTATTTGTTTTAGAGTGCGAACGTTGAATGTCGCCATGGAAACGGGATAGCGTGTCCTTATAAGGGACTTTTGCCGATGGGCCTCCTATAGTTGCGGTGGGATGGTGGCTGCAGATGGTTCTACTCCAGTGGCACTTCGGTTGCTGTCAATTAAGCTAGGAATTATAAAAGGTTAGTAATGGAGGTCTGGATGTAAGAGGAACAGGTGGAAAACGAAGAAGAGAAGCGCCAGCAGTAGCATGTTTTCGCTTATCCGCCCTGCTGTATGCAGCAGATAAGGCGACCCTTGATAATCTGCGCGACGGCCGATGCAGGATGAAGTTTATGTTTGGAGAAAAAGTCATGGTTGTATGTGGGTTGGGATACTGCCAGGGCGCCCAAACCTAGACAGGAGGACGGTTAGGGTCCTCATCCAAATCCCTTGGATCAAAAGTCTGTCCGCAAGGCAGCGGGGAGGTAGCAATGATTTGGTTTTAAAGAAATGGATGCCATCCGATTTCAAACCCCCAACCTAGATGACTAGGAGACTGAGTTTGTCTGACCTCTCACTATTGACCAGGCTGGTAGGAGTATCACTCAAGATGCCCCAGTATATCTCAATTGGTCAAAGAGGTACGCAAACCGTCGCATCACGTTAAGGTGCAGTCTCGTTACGACGGTCCTCCGAGACGCATGCATAACTTAGCGTGAACCAATGCGTGATCGGGGTCCAGACAAGTTGACCAGTACGAATGGCAGTCTGATGCGTTTCCGCGCCATTTGTAGCATATCGCAATGTGACCAATCTGGGACCACGCTTGCGTTTGAGAAGACGGGCGCCAAGTAGCAGTCTGTATCTTCGAGTCTCGAAAACTGGTTCCCGAAAGGAACAGGCGATGATCAGAACAACGAGTTAGTAGTCTGTCTCCATTGTCTGATTCTTTGCTACCGAAACCAAAACTAACCCCCCCCTCCAGATGGTGCGCGCTTGGTGGCAGGTGACGCACCCGTGCATTTAAGTCCCCGGCAAGAATGACAATAGGAGACGTTTTATCAGAACGCAGGTCATGTAGTTGTTGGTAAAAGCAATCCTTGACTGCATTCGGACTGCAATTTTTAGGAGCGTAGGCAGGGATGACAAATAAAGCGTGTGTAACATCTCGACGCTTACTTAACTTACGTGAATCTCGAAGTCTGACTGCACATAGCCGACTGTTGACTGGGATGCAGACAAGCAGAGCGGACTCAGCCTTGTCACTCAGAGCAACCCAAACATCAGCCTTGCCAGAAGCGCAGACTTTGGGTCACTGGACTGGCTATTATGATGACGGTAGTGGAGTCTTGCGGTCTAGTTTCCGAGAGGCAACAGATGTCTACCGAGAGCATTTCAAGAGTGCGGGTCAAACGTGTTTGCCATCCGATCTGCATTAGAGTGCGAACATTGAACGCTGCGAGACTGAATAGAGAACCAGGTGGAAGAAAAGCTGGGGCTTTGGTGGAGTGTGAAAAGGCTATGATCGCCGGCCATCGACAGGTGCTACCAGTGAGCTGTTGTTGGTGGTGACCGGGGAGAACATAAGTGTAGTTGAATAATGGGACGTGGGACGATCCGTGAGTAGAGTAGATAGACATAGCAAGAGACAAAGCAGTAGTATTGTCCGTGCATGATTTAATGTAAGTTGCTTGGCTTGGAGCAACACCGGAGAGACTAGGCCTACTGAATCGTGAGTCGATGCAACGAACGGCATAAGTAATCTTCGGGAGCAATCCCTTTTAAAATTCGTCGTACTGGAGCATATGCAATCAACAAGCAGGTTCCAGTTTAGTCCCAATATGAGGTGCACGTTATATAAAGCGATTACCAAACCCCTTTTGCTTTAAACGGAAAGTAGTTAATGTTAGGAACAGTCTGTCAGAATAAGTCGTAAATACCAAATCTATACAGCAGTTCAAAAGTTTGTTGCGTTTGCGTTTCACCACCATTCGATTCAGAGAACGATTGAAACCTTGCATTTGTGAGCTCAATGAAACCGTAATTATGACTTTAGTGAATGTTCCGTAAGAACTTGAGGAACGATTAGATTATCACGGGTAGCAGATATCTCTTAGTACACTTTCGATTATATCGCGACGGAATTGTACAAAGTAAAATTTTTACTTGCTCCTAAAAATATATTCACTTCGCAAAATCGTGACCCTCAGAAATTGTTGGCATTGTGTAGATGATGCTTTTAATTATAGGAAGAGAGAAAGGATATTTTTTAAATACTTTAAACATTGTTGACGAGGAGATACAACTTTACAAGGATAACTAACCATGAAGCTGTATACTCCAGTCTCACAGTTACCCAGTCTACAGGAAATGAGGAAGGCTGAAGAATGATGAGATAGAATAGACCAGTAGATATCCGAAATAGTCAGTAAAGTGCTGGCTAAAGAAATAACTCAATTCACACTTAAGTGCTACTTCGAAGTGAGGAATTTTGGAAGCGGTCCAGTGGGCACTGGATAAAGACAAAACCTGGGAAATTAGTCAAAAGGCCAAGCGCTACAGCTATCCCTGGCGTATTCGAGGAATTCGCTAATGTGGACAATACGCTTAGGTGCACTTAGGAGATCAACCGCATGTAGAACAAATTACGAGAGAATTGCTGACAAGAAACTCCGAACATAGGAGACGAATGCCGTTCGTGTCAAGAAACGAGTCTGAATGTAGAATGTTGCCAAGAGACTGAGTTGTACCAACACATGTACTACACAAAAGGTGATTTGGAAAATGACAATTAAAAACAGGGAAATGGCACTTAATGTTGCAATTATTTACGGAGGAAGTACGACTGCACTGACAGAACAAGCAATGTGAAGCTAGCGAACACGCAGTAACCAACTGTAATCCGGTAATACGGATGAGCGTCAGCTGATAAATCGAAGAGCAAAACACTTCCGCTAAAAAAAACGGCAATTGTACTTGATATGCAACTGTAATCGTACTATGACTAACACCGTTTTTCTTGGAAGCTCACTTGTAGTTAAAGTCAAACAGCAAACCGATTAAGTGCTAGTTCACCTAACCTGACGAATTCTCTGTGTCAATGTCGAAACATTGTCGATGCGACACACTGACAGATTGCTTTTAAGAGTTTCCGGAATCGTTTTGCCTTTCTTTCCACGTTAGTATCAACTGATGTGATAAAGTAATCTGACGACGAGACACTGAAAACAAGCATGTAGAATACGTCAAACTCGGAAAATATCCACCACAAATGCGAATGGGATGAATATTTCGCAGATTAGGGAGAAAGCGGACGAGGGATGAACGAGATCAAAAAATGAATTCATCGTCTGAAATGGGGATGGGTGAAGACGTGATTGCTGAAAGTGAAATCCCACAGAGACGCCGTGAGAATCCCAGTGGTCAGTTGATGTATGAGCCTCAATAAAAATAATCATGACTGGAATAAGTATACAAGGAATGTGGTGAGCGAAGGGCGCAGAAAAGCGCATAAGGAATCATCCGGTTCAAACGAATGGGAAGGAGACATAACACACAAGTGTGGAACAAGGACGGATAAGAAATAAACGAATTTCCAAATCGTAAAAGAGACGCGCATGAGCGGCGGTGTAAAGCAAGATAGTCGATGTCATTATGCGTTGTGCAAGACGTACATGAAGACACACAAGGACAGGAAGCGGTTCGGAAAGACATTGCGCTCGATCACAAAGAATGCATGAAGAATAGGGAGCTGATAGGTGGATGTCTAGACGAGTTTCGTCGATGCTGGCGCAGAAAGTGCAATACTTTACAGATTAGTAACATTTTCGAAGTATATGTGTCTGAGTGCATGGTCAGCGGAAATGCGATCGGCCGGATTACACACGACCAGTTGCTGAAAAAAGCAGGTAGATGAAACAGTGATAACAGGCGTATTGGAAACAACTGAAGGGGATGTCTCAGGGTAGATGACGACATAAAACCGGTCATATGTGTGTGACACCGCATAGCTTGATAATATCAAGGGAAAGTTATTGCAAATAGCTGAGAGATTGTCTGAAATGAGCTAGGCGCAGTGGTAGTTTGGGGAAATGTTTGAGGTATTAATGAATCATTTCTCAAGTAAACTCAATTAAACAGCTAACAAACCGCAGAGAAAGCGCTGGATGGTTCCTTCAACTTAGTGGGATGCAATAGCAGTTCGCGATCTCCAAAACTCAAATGAATCTAGACGAATGCCTTTGAAATAATATCATCAATCCACCAGATCCTAACAAATAGCGATCGTCGTCTGGGCTGGTGACCGGCGTTTTAGCGGGGTAAGTCGGCTTTGTGGAGTACCCACACTCGTTATAGGCGAGTGACGTGCGTATAACAGTCGTGGATGAGTCACGAAGTGTCGCAGCTAGAAAACAGCAATGGCTTCTCGGCGGCTCAAGTCAGTGTCTCGCCGTAAGCAATAGCTGCGGATTCGACTCCTGTTGGGAGTGGAGAGGAGAAGAAACGAGCCGCTGACGGGCCTTAACAGGACAAGAAGCTCAGCAAACGCTTCTGGATTCTGAGGTTTGGAAACAATCGGTTGGCGTATTTGTTGGGTAACGTTACGTTTTGGCACGAAGGCTTCGTCAGGACAGATAAATCAGTGTGAAATTGGAGTGGCATTTCACAGCCAAAAGAGGCGATAACCGCGATACCCAAAACCAAAGCTGTTCCGCACATGTGTGATAGTTGTCTGACCAAACGAGGTAAACGTGCTGTGTGCAGCATCGGCTGGCATATAGAAATGAATGATATAGATTAAAAAAAGTAATTGTGAATATGAGACCCTAAGCCACAACGAATTTGCGAGGCAACTGCGTAAATGAGGGAGGAACTTTACATCACATGGCAGATGTTATATCTACGTGATTTATAGAGGTATGCTGAGCAAGACTCTTAGACGTTTTGAGAGCAATTTGGCAGAGAAACCCACAGCGCTTCAGCCAAGATTTCAAACGGTAAGAGATGAAACAAAACCAGCGTCCCCTAGCTCTCCAGGCCAGACGTTGTGCACAGGTTGGTGACTATTGCTGTATAAATGGCACAACCAATGAATTCCTGCCATGTTTCCGTGACCTCGGCACCCCGGGTTAAGGACGGCAATTTGTTTTTAGTGGTATAAAGCCCCATATGCAACTAAGATGATCACACAAAAATTCAATCTCATGCTGAGTCAGCCGTCGCGCAAAATCAAAATGGGAAGGATAAACGAAAGAGGACTGCCATTAATGTCACTAATTGTCCTGTCTGTGCTACTTGAACATTTCTCGATCCCCATTAGTGGCCTCCATACCGTAAATGACGGCGAGTACAAGACCACCGAAGTCCCGCTGTTTGTACACATATCACCACATCATATAAACGAAAACTAGCTTCAGGTGGCATTGGGCGCACACTGGATCCCGTCTGTGTTCACATGAGCTGCGCCTCTGAAACAAGAGTCCAAGACTCTCACGCGGTCATCGAGCTAGTTGCGCCAAGCTCGCCTTTTTGTTGTTAGATGCACGCGTTCGGAGATGCTGAGACAATCACAGGCAAGGTTGGTGTGAGTAACGTCCATAAAGCAGAATTAACGTAGGTTGAATTAAATATCATAGACACCCACCGGTATGGAGCATTTTTGAGAATACGTGTGACTAGAACGTGATCTTGATCATGTCAAAGACAACTTTTGTCGCGAACTAGCTACCACCTTGGATGCCGTTTGCAGCCCAGCAGGTCGTCTAGGCACTTCAGTCATTTCGGCGGCCTTCCAGCGTTAAGTATGGGGGAACAACGATAAAGAGTACTTGCTACTGCGTTGTTCTTATGGGATCCCGACATAAAGTGGATGGTTAGAACAACGGATCACTGTTGTTTTGCAAAGCAGGTGGGTAGCACAGTTGCAAACATATGAAACACATTAAAAGTTAATATTGCGAGGGCACTACGCCGGATTCCTAGTGTCACAGCAAGCCCGGCCGAGCTGAAAATACCGTGCCTCAAGCAAGATTAAGGGAAAATGGCACTTCCAACAAAACCTATTCAAATCATCTCATTCACCGAAACATGAAATACTGGACTCACTAACATCCCATTCTAAACACTCCGTTCGTACTACTGTACCGACAAAACGAAACAGATTCCCTAAATGCTTAAAGTGCAAGTAATTCTGTGACATTGAAGGATGAGCTGAAGCGGAACAGCAAGTGGGTTAGGGCCAAATGTAAGTACAGACAAAACATGTGAGAATGGGGCACAAGCAAGATTTGCAAGAACACACCTGCAGTAGGTCAACGCCACGTGACGATAGCTTTGGTACAACATGATGCCAGTTCGCAGCCGGGGGATACATCAAGCTGAAGGGCTGTGGGAGAGAATAGACGGGAGAACAAGTCAACAATTGTCAAAGAGGGTCACAACCAGTGAAAAAAATCAGTTGCAATCAAAAGAAAGCATATTATCAAAGAGTAGATATAGACTCCACCCACATACACCGTTTCACGGCTGTGAGTTTGTTTGTCCCACTCCATCCCTCTTAGCCTCCCCGTCCAACCACGATCTCACTATTTAGCCTTCTATACCTTTGCATAGTAATTTTTTGATGCACAGTAGCCGGCTGGTAGCTTATCGAAACGATGCCCATCCGTTACCGGTAGCTAAGCCGGCTTGCACTAGTTGCATTTTTTTCTCCTTTTTCCTTCTGTGTATTGCGGCACAGTAGCTGAGGTGTTTCCCACCTCTAGCTAACGTGTGTAATGATGACGATGATGATGACACCGTTTAACGTCAGTTACAAGACAAATGAGGGTAAAACAAGAGGTAGCCAAGATGTCAGACGCGTGCAGTCATGAGTACTGGGCTTGACGGAAACAAATAAATATATAAGCAAGTGGGAGAACACCATGGTTCACTAAGCTTTATGGCAGTGAGTTCATGAGAGGTTAATGACTAGCTGGTGGTCTGGTCTGGTCGTCGATTTTTGTTGTGGACACCTCCTCGTGGTGACCGCTGGGTGGCTTGGGAACGCACTCTTCTTCCAATTAAGAGTCAGAACGCGGCTGCGTCAGTCGGTCAGTACATGGCACATTTCTCGATGCCTTTCGGGACTACATTGTAGCGAAAGCTTTAGCTGAGGACCCGAGTCATTCGCTGTTTAGGTGTGGACGCTCTGACACTGCATCAGTCCAACTACCAAACGTGAATATTAAACACAAATAATTTTATGCGGCATCAGCCAGGTAGCTCCTGACCAAATTGGTGCAAACTCGCCAACCCATCTGTGGCTGGCCGTGGTCGCAGGTGTGCAACATGCTACGGTCGTAAAAGACGTGTACACTGGTCTAAACCTTCAAAGGCAGTGTGTGATGAGCTTAAAGCAGATCCCCATGGGTCTCTGCAATAACACTCCTGAGCTGGACTTGCTCCCACTGTCTTGTGGGTCAGGCCATTGAGACAAAGGCTCCGGGTGGAGTCCCTCAAGTGAACCACTAAATCTTCCACTATCTTGTGAGCCAGACAGTTGAGTCAAAGACTAGAGGTAGGGCACCTGGAACAAAAGCCCACTCACAGAATGGGCAGCCGGAGAGTAACATCTGCCATCTCGACTAAATCGACAATACTCCCTCTTCTTATGTTTCGTTTCCCACTCAACTCTCTTCTTCCCCGTCCGTTGAGCAAGAGACTGCCGCTGACCTCGCAGCTGCTGTTACGATACTCGTAACTCGTCCATCAAATCACGAGTCTCATATCACATTGGTTCTTTTAACGTCCGCGCTCTAAGCCAGATCGGCCAACAGGCAACACTGACTCTCATTATTCACTCTCTTGGTATTGATGGATGCTGTGTCTCCGAAACACGCACGCAAGATATCAGCGTTGTGACGAATCTCCGACTCCCTGGTTTTGAATTTGATGACAATGACTGCACTCTTTGCGTCTCTGCTGATACCGAGTCAATAGCTCAAGATATTTACGGTGTTGGTAGCGCCCACAGCAGACATGCTGAAGGTAATCTACTCGACTGGATATCAGTGACTAGCCGCACGTGTGCGATCCGGCTTCGAACCTCTATTGGGGTTAATAAGCACCGCATGAAGACAAGGTGCCTTTTCATTGCCTCCGTTTATGCTTCTATTGACTGCAGTTCGGAGGATACCAAAGATGATTTCTACTACAATCTTTCATATCTTCTCCGCATGCCAACGAGTACTGACATCGTGATTGTTGCTGGTGACATGTATGCCCAAGTGGGTCGTCTGCTAGACCAGCAATTCTTAACGGGAGCCATATGCCCCCCTGGAGGCCATAGAAAATTCGCGGGGGAACTTGGATGAGAAAAGCTTTTAAGGAGGCCATGGGGGGGGTCATGCTGTGAAAAGTGGGTTGTGATAACACAAATAACAAAATTCATTTTAAAAAATTTTTTATGATAGTTTCTGTTTGTGCACTAATCTCGCCTGATAACTAGCGGTCAGAGAAATGAATTACGCGCGCGCAAGTGGCTGTTTAAAAAGGTGTGAAAGCCAGCTCCGTCAAACTTGCGCATATTTCGCCGGGCTCATCTCAATCATACAATCACCATACGGCGACTTAGACTACGCAACCGATGCCTTTCCACAGTGAACCAACTGAGCTCTATTCAGGACACAGATACATCTAACAGTGCAACCTGTAGTGAACCCATTGAACTCGCCTCGACACACTGTGGCAGTTACCGCACAGCCACACTGACACTGAGTTTTCCTCAGGACACTACCACTGTTTTGACAACTCATGTGCCGGTCAGTCTTTGTTGTTCGGGTCTCAGTGCGGTAGCGCTAGGTTACGCACTTTTCGTCTCTATAACTCGCGTGTACGTCTGGAGGCTAGGTCACCTTAGCCGGCAAGATTCCGAATTCGAGTGGATACTCTGCGCGTGTGGTGTAGTATCTCTGAAGAACGTTCGTTTGTTCCAACTGGGAGTCGAAACAGCTAGGATGCGTTAGAACGCATTTTTAACATTCAGCTCAGCTGAAGTGTTCGAATTAGCGAGCAGTTTTATCAAATTACACCATAGGTGTGGACATCCGGTTTCAGTGGTGTTTATATACAACGTGTACATATGGACACTTCTCATAATACAATAATCCAACGCCTTGCCAACACGCATTGGGCGCCATGTTTGACAATGACCGAGGTATGTTATTGTTTGAGTTATTGACTCTCCCGTGCCGGTTGCTTGAACCATTCGGCATTTCCTTTCGTGTTTGTCTCTTCTGTTCTTCATTTTACCTGTTGTCACTGTTTGCCACAATCCTCCTGCAATGCATGTGCATCCATTGAGCATTAGCAGTTTCCGAGTTCCATTTGTTTTCTTCATTGAATTTTGTCAAGTTGTCCTTAGCCATATTAGCTATCTACAGCATTGTCAAAGTCATCCTCAGAAACTACCTTTGCGTTGCCTCTAGCAGTATTATTACTACACCTTTACATTTTAGCCACCAACAGACGTTACAAGTATGGTTACAATATGTCGTATCCCAAGCCAACATGAACATTGAGTCTCTTCGCAGTCTCTGGGACTTATCCATGCTCGCCGGCATATTCCGGCTGGAAGCGAACACAATGAAACTCGCAAAGAGCTCTGGGCAAAACTCCGCGCTAGCCTGAAGAGAGACCGCGAATCCAGGTGGCCTCATCGTGCATCAGAGATGGAAATGGCCGCTGCCCTTGGTAACCATCATAAGTCATTCCGTCTGACACGGGAAACGGGCAACAGGAGACTTGGTGTTAGTGAAACTATACGTGACGAAAGTGGATAGCCTGTCCACAATTTGTTAAAACGTTTGGAGCGTTGGGCTGAGCATTTTGAAAAGCAATTTAATCGGTCGGAATTGTTAGATTTCTTGCCAGCCACTGATCGCACTGCAACCCTGGGATGTCCCTTTGGATCCACCCTCTCGCTCAGAAGTCGAACGTGAGAGCGCACCGTTGAAGTTAAATAAAGCCGCGGGACCAGATGATCTTCCTCCAACCCTCTTCAAATTCGGGGGACCTGCTCTTGTGGGTGATTTATACGAGTTACTAGTGAAACTGTGGGAGCAGGAAACTGTTCCAACTGACTGGAGCAGCTCTGTCATAGTCCCAATTTTCAAGGGAAGCTCACGATCGGAATGTGGCAACCATAGAGGAATCAGTCTGATCTCCATCGCTTCCAAATTGCTTGCCTCTGTCATTCTTTACAGACTGACTGGCACTCGTGAAAGCCAGATTCGTGAAGAGCAAGGCGGGTTTCGTAGAAGTCGTGGCTGTATTGACCACATCTTCACTTCGCGTCAGTTGTTGGAGCACCGTCACATATACTGGCGGCCCACCATTGTCGTGTTCCTCGATATCAAAGGTGCATTCGATTCGGTGCATACACGTGCACTTTGGGACTGTCTACTCAGGAAAAGTGTACCTGAGAAATATGTGAATATTATCCGAGCATTAGACGCGCATAGCACGGGCAGAGTGAGGGCTTATGGCAAGCTGTCGTCGCCCTTTAATATCTCCAGCGGTGTGAGACAAGGATGCCCGCTGTCACATTTCCTCTTCAACTTCGCTATTGACGAAGTCATAGAAATCGCGTTCATAGGACACGACTTAGAAGGTGTGGATCTGCTCCCAGGAGAACGACTTCTTGACTTGGAGTTTGCTGACGATATTGCCCTCATCTGTGACAGCTCCCAGACGTGCCAAGCTGAACTGGACAGATTAGCACTAGCTGTCCGTCACTTCGGGCTTTGCTTTGCACCATCGAAGTGCAAAGCGTTCCTTTGAGATTGGCCTGGACCGCCTCCGACGCTGACCCTTGGTGAGAATCAGCTAGAAGTCGTTCGGAAATTCAACTACCTGGGAAGTTGTATCAGCGCCTTGGGATCGAAGACGAGGTCACAAACCGTATAGCAAAAGTTAGAAGTGCTTTTGCTAACCTTCGCCACCTATGGCGGCGGTGGAACATTACTCTCGCCCTGAAGGGTAGAGTGTACAATGCATCGGTACGTCCGACCTTACTGTACGGTTGGGAAACCTGGCTCCTTAGATCAGCGGACATGAAGACGCTAGTTACATTCGACTACCGGTGCCTTCGCAATTTAGCTCACATCTGGTGGGACATCGCGTGAGCAAAGAGCGTGTTCGACGCCTGGTTTATGGCACAGGAAAAGAAAATGAACCGCTCAGCACCGTTATGTTACGCAACAGGTTCCGATGGCTCGGCCGTGTTTCACATGTCTGCCAACGAATCCCGCGACGTGCGTTGTTTGCACGCCGGGGGTGTGGATGGAAGAAGAGGAGAGGTGCCCAAGCTGATTAATTCGAGAGGAATGAAGACTCCTTCCGAAGTTGGACTCAGCTGCAGTGTCTCGGCTTCCTGGTTGAGGTCCGAAAGATGATGAACACGTTTGTCTGGATACACTTGATGATGTGGCTAGGAGCCGACCTCAGTGGCGTTCGTGCTCTGAGGTTCTTTGTCTAACCCCATCCCTCTTAGCCTCCCCTCCAACCACCATCTCAGTATGTAGCATTTTATGATTTTGCTGATGCATAGTAGCCGGCTCTATGTCTAGTTACTAGACTGTTGAGATTACATAGTAGCCGGCAGGTAGCTTACGGGAACGATGCTCATCCGTTACCCGCAGCTCAGCTGGCATGCACCTGTTGCATTTTATTCCCTTTTTTCTTTTAGGTATTGCGGCACAGTAGCTGAGGTGTTTCCAACCTCTAACTAACAAGCATAGTGTGTGTGTGTGTGTGTGTCGTATCCCATGATCTCACGATCAAGAAAGAATAACGTGAAACACTGCGTCCCTTTCAGTCATTTAGTCAACGCAAACAGAAGACATAAACTGTGATTCGTTAACATTCCGACTGCACTCCTCAGTCGCAAACGCACTACATTTCACAAATAACGTATTTACTAGTGGAACGAAGTCATATGGGTAACATTGAACTGAAACATCATGACCCCACGGCAATCTGGTAGATTGCCTCAGTTCCTTTTGTGCGCACAACGTCGGTCGGTTCACGGCAATCAGTAGCGCTTCACTGATCGTCAGCTTCTTCGAGTTACGATTAATCAATAGCATTTCGAATGCTTTTGATGGGCCCACGTGATGGCCAGTCGTCACGAGATGTTTTGTGATAGACGAGGCAGGGTTCCGGTTAATCGTTTGATCCATCCCTTATTGTTTCACTATGGACTGTCTTATCCACTGCGAGAAGTGTTCAACTACCCTTTGAGCTAAACGACGGTTGGTAGTTGAGAGCTGTTTATTCTTGCCCTTCAAACGACATTGGTCACAAGCTCAGGTCTGCTCTCATGCGCACTTAAACCACGGCGCAGTTACGTATCATCTATACCACACGAAGGCTTGCTCTCAACTACCGTCCGAGCTGCTCGCCAGTCGGTTGGGCTTCTTATGTTATTTACCAGTTCACCTGCAGTTGCGGTGACATATACAGGAGCCAGATTTGAACTGTAGGGTGGGTGAGCAATCTGGATGTGTTCGCTAGCCAGAAAATCTACGACGACATGGGATCGGTATACAGGTGCGTTGTCATGGTCCATCAAGGGCACTCGTGCTCGAGTCATCGGACGACGCCTGGTTACAGCTTCCAGCACCTGTGGCAGGCATTAAGTGGCATACCAGTCTGCGTGACTGTGCGTTGCCGTACGAGCTGCACAGTAGCCACATGACCGGTCTTGGCCACGAACACATTCACCACCTGCTTGGCCACACTGCGCTTACGCCGGAATTTTGGAGACGGCGCCCCACCAACGATCATACACCGAGCCGACTGTTGCTTGGTTTCCGGGTCGAAACTGTACACCCAGGTATCAACACCCCTGAGGATCTCCGAAACAGCACTGGAACGTTCAGTATCAGACTTGGCAAGCATGGTGTAGCACCAATTTCTCAGAGTTGCTTTCTGGTCCTCAATGAGCTGGTGGGGTAACCAGCGCGCGCAAATCTTCCTGAGGCCCAAGTTCTCATGTAGGATGGTGCGGATTGGTCCCGAAGGGATCCCGATGTCTTTCACCAGCCGTACCTCAATCACCCGCGCGTCTTCCTCCAGCATTGTTTTCGCAGCTGAAGTGTTGTCCGCGGTGGTGGCCTCCACAAGTCGACCAGACAGTGCCTGCCATGAATGAATTCCGTAAACCACACAAAAGCGGTGGTTCATAAAGACGCATCATCACCAAACGCAGCACGCAATCGCCTAACGCTCTAATGCTGCTTTAAACCACATTTGTAATCATGGATACTTATCGCCCTCTAGTGATATTGACGGAGTTACATACTTACAGTCAGAGTACAGAAACCTTTATAACTTGTGAGCTATGCTGCGCTGTTGATATAGGGTTCTGTGAGTTGAAACAAGTGAACAATGTTCATAATGGCTCACAGTTAATAATTTTATTGCCAGATCATCTGCAGTTAATGTGTACTGCGTATACGGAAACTTATTGCCCTGCCCACGTACCTCGCAGCTGAATCCGGTGTATGTGATCGAAATAAGAATGGTTGTACCCTAAACGGAACCGTGAAAAATGGATCCGAAACAAGACACGCAACTCAAGGAGTTGCCAAGTTGAAAAAAGGATTATAAGAAATATAAAAAGAACGTAGTCTTACCTCGTAGTCCGGGAGCTCAGTGATGGTTGGCCAGGTCACTTCAGTTGGAGTACCAAGTAATCTGAAGTAGAGCAGATAAAAGTTACGGTAAAGTCGGACAAAGCAAAGGGATACAAAGATCTCATGTGCTCCGATAGTCTGACGTGAAGGAAGGCCATCGGTATCAACAGCAACAGCGGTGCCTAGTACTGGTGCTGTCGATAACGTCATGTCTATTCCCTAGGCTGCAGCAAACATGTATGTATCCTACTACTGAAAAACGAGAGGAAAGGGCGAAGATGAAAGAAAAAGGCGGTAAACAAACCAAGGCACCTGTATCATAAGGTTACAGACAACCGATCGTATGAATATGTGGTGGTGTGGGCGTGACAGCTTCTTGCGACTTCCATTGCTCTGAGGCAGAATCAGCCAAGCCATACCGTTACCACTGCACCACGTCTACTTTGAGTAAGAAGTATTTTTTAGCCAAGCGATGACAGCGCACCCGTCCTCAGTGTCTGTTGCCGGACATGCCCTGTAATGTCTTTATCAAAGTACAGAGAGTGTTGCGTGGAACTTAGCCTGGGAACAGGAAGATCAGTAGAAGTGTGACATATCGGTAGCTACTGAATGCAACCCAGCGCAGGTACGCGCATCACTGGCAAGGTTTGTCGCTGTCAGGCTCCTGATTATATATTACTTCGTAGGTCGATTGAACTCGCGATCAGCGAGGCGACGACAAATAATTCCATTGGAATGTAAACGGTCATTCGACACTCGCAGAATTAAGGCGAAAGTCGCGTGACTTTGTCTCCGAGAAGCCGATGTGATGGCATTTAAATACGTTTTTGTACTCAGTTAGGAACCGGTCCAGTACAGGACTAATAATACGATGCGCCACTGAGACTTCCGATGCTCTCTAATTCAACAAGAATGCGATCTGCTCTATATTCCCAATTCACACAAAGGGAACCAACCACCGAGATGGTCCAATTTACAAATGGGGAGGGGAAGTAAAAGAGATGCCAAAATCCCCAGAATATCATCAATATCATTATACACGTTAGCTAGAGGTAGCAAACAGCTATTGTGACGCAGTACATAAGAGAAGAAACAACGCAACAGAGGCACGCCAGCTTAGTCACTAGTAACGGATGAGTATCGTTCTGGAGAGATACCAGTCAGCTATTGTGCTGCGAAAAAGGAGTTTTATTATGCATAAAGAATGAGATCGTGGTTGAAGGGAGAGGGATAAAGACTCACAACACAAACGCCAATGAGGTTCACTTCTAAACATGGCAACTACCGTATCCAGCAAAACGTGCGCATCATTTTCAGACCCCAACCAGGGAGACTAGAGGCTCCAACTGGGGCCAACTTCAAAGTAAGGTCCTTCATTCCTACTTGTCCAAGTCACTGGTTGGCTAGCTTACCGCTTCTTCCATCCGGCAATCAAACAACGCAAGTCGCAGTAGCTGGTGCGTTGGCGCGCGCAACACGTGGCTCAGCCATCGGAACCTGGTGCGTGATACAATGATGCTGAGCGGATCACTTGCCCTTCCTGCACCCAATACCGAACACATTCATTGCTTACGCGGTGCTCCCACCAGATATGAGCTAATCTGCGAAGGCAGCGATGGTCGAAGGTAGCTAGCCTCTTTATGTCTGTCGACTTGATGGGCCAGGTTTTACAACCGTATACGAGGGTTGAACGGAGGGCGGCCCTGTAAACTGTGTCCTTCAGAACGAGAGTGGTGTCGCGTTGGCACAACAGATGGCGGAGAGTGGCAAAAGCACCTCGAGCGTTTTGGAAAGATGATTGTAAAATGGGTGAAATCGATAAGTTAATATCTTAGAACATACATCATTGTAGGCATCAAGATGTCCAGAAAGGATCAAATCAACTAAAGAATCTCTAGACAAGCCACTGCATCGAGAAATGTGCTTTATAGATCGCACCAATAAGATGTAGTCTTTGAAGCAGTCCAGGGAAAATGACAGGAGAGTAGTATAACCAATGGCGAATAATACGAGGTCACAAATCTGAATATTAAAGTACAAGGTACTGAACGCACCTAAGTATGAGGGCATAAAAAGAAAGTTCGCTGACTTTTTGAAAAGTTTTGCAGATGTAGGTGGAACAAGAAAGGTTCCGGGACAAAAAACGCTGAGATACTTGACGGTGGAAGAGCTGGGTGCGGGATTTTCATTCACAGTAAGGGTGGAAGAGAAATCTATGAGGGACTGCAACTTATCGCCACGTAGAAAGGAAAATATTACATCCATGCATTTAGAAGCATTAAGCATAAGAGATCTGGATGAAGACCCTTCCACCAGATCTTCCAACCCAAGTTGAAGTGATGAGGAATCCTGGTTAGTGGGAGCCATACATCCCAGAACAACATCATTAGCATATGTGCACCCTATAAACGTCGTTTGTATAGGGAGACGTTCAACCTACAAGGAAAATAGAAAAGGTGATAGGATCGCTCCTTGTAGAACACCACAGTCGGCACGGAGGACAGAGCATTTCTTACCGTTCAACTTGATGAAGTGAGTACGATCTGTAAAATAGTCACGTAACAGATTACACCCGCCAGGGTGAACTCCATTTTCGGATAGCAGGTTTAGCAACCTTGACCTATACAGGCTTCCAAAGGCATTCGAATAATCCAGGAAGAAAAGCCGTACGGTTTTACCTTTTTGATCTAATGCAGAGGCTATAGAATGAGCAACATATGCCACTGCATCCATTGTGGAGCGCTGGGGTCTATACGCAAATTCATAGATATCGTCTTCAGAACCGGCTGAAAAAATCCACGGAATTAACAGTCATTCGAAAACTTTTAGGAGCACAGATGTACATAGAATTGGGCGATACTTTGGAGATCCAGTTTTTGGTACTGAAGTGATAATGGCCGTTCTCCAAATGTCCGGGACCACACGCGTAATGAGGCATTTATTGAAGAGATCTGTTAGAGCCAATGTGAGAGAATCGGCATACTCCTTTTAAGCTAAGGGTGAGAGATTATTGGTTGCCTTCAATCTTTTGAGTTCCTTGTGGCCGTTGCTTTGATCGCAGGGCGCGGCTGGATTTGAGCTAATAAAGGAGGGCAAGGGAGATGAGGTAAGTAAGGCGGAATTAAACTCTGAATTCAGTTTATCCACATTCACTTCACTTGTCTGGCTGCAAACGTTCTTACCCCAGAGGTGCCTCGGAAGCCCCCGGTTCTGGTTGCCTAGAACTGCTTCGACCTATAATTGGTTTAGTCATTTTATCTCGGATTTAATTGCCGTGGTTAGGCTTTTGACACGGGTAGCATTCTTGCACTTGTAGGCCCATTCTTTCATTCTTCGAAGTCGCTTTAGTAATGGTGATGCAAATCTATCTGCTTCTAGATAGATCGTTTCGACAGGGCAGCACATGTCAAAGCAATATTTGATGTGGTCCGTAAGCTGGTCACATTCGAGGGACAAGTCCTCGTCGTTGAAGACTGAAAAATCAATTAAAGAAAACATCGTCTGGTGCCTCGTGATATTTTCCAAGGAGCAATTTCGCCGTTGGATAATCTAATAAGGACGCCAGGTCAGCGTTAAAAATTAAACCTGCTGTATATGACTGGACACAGTTTTAAAACACAATGATCTGAGCTGCTCAAAAGAGCCCACTTTTGTATGGAAAACAACAGACGTTTGTGTACACAGCGTCCCACTGGGCATCTTGTCTGGTTGAAGAAGTCACGAGGTCTACCAAGCCAAGTGTCTTCAAGAATGTTGTATCCTATCTGTTGAAGTCGTCAGTAACAATACAGATAGAACAAACTAATTTAAGCAGTAGCGTTGAAGCAACTTGGTCGGCAAAAGCCTTAACTCTGATGCAGATGTGTCAGGAGCAAGGTACACGCTTCCAGCAATGACTGATTGGAAGTCGCTTAAGAACTTCGGTTTGCATTGAACTGAATGGCAGCTTATAGAGAGCGTTGAGTATGGGAATATTACGATTGCTGAGTTGCACCAACATTGATCATTGATTGGAGGTCACCACAACGAAACTGGGGTTTCCCGGGGCGGTTAGACCTGACGGGAAAATAAACACCGAGATAAATTACCCAATTTCTACATTAGTATGCAACTAGCTTTATTGTAACAGAATGATTCCCGTATTAACATACTCATTTCGCTGCGTAAAGGAACTGAGATCACTGATTTTACCAAGGAACGAGCGAACATTACTTGCGCTTTGTCGACAGAACAACGACTGAGGCCAGATTGCCAGCCAGCAAGATGCTTGCGGTTGTTTCCAAGACATTTTTCCTAATACCTTTGTAGGTATTATTGACTTTATGATCGTATTCGATGAAGCACGGATGTAAGGTAGTAACGCGTAACGTTTTCAAATGGTCGACGGAGTAGGACAACATTGACCTTGGGACTTGGTCAGGAAAAATAAATTGTTTTAAAGTTACAAAGAAAATATAGGATCCGCAGTCGATAGTGCAAAATAATCTCCTCAAGAGAACAGTAACGGCCGAATTCGAAGACAATGTCGTCAGCATACTCCAATTCGAGAATTCTTTCATTTGGGAGCATCTCCACATCATTTAGGTCGTGTCCAGCAAACGCTATGACTTCGTCAATACCGTAGTTAAAGGGGAAAGGTGAGAGCGGACAGCCTTGTCGCACCCCTCTGGAGATACAGAAGAGCAGAGACAGTTTGTCGTAAACTATCACTCTGCCCGAAGTATGCGTGTACAGTGCTCTGGTAATGCTTATATTTTTCCTTAGCAAACAGTCCCGAAGGGTTTATCGATCAACCGAATCGAAGACACTTTTGAGGTTGAGAAACAAGACTACTGTGGGTCGCCAATAAATATGGTGATGTTCTAACAATAGACGTAAGGTAAAGATGTGGTCGATGCAGCTTCGATTTCCACGAAATCCGGCTTACTCCTAACAAATCTGGCTTTCACGAGTGCCAGTTAGTCTGTGGAAAACGACAGGCGCAAGCCATTTAAAGGCAATTGAGAACAAACTGATCCCTCTATGACCGCCACATTCCGGATGGGAGTCCGCCTTGAAACTTGTGGATATTATCGAGCGGATCCAGTCGGTTGGGACAGACTTTTGCTCGCATAGCTTCACTAGTAAATTATACAAATCAACTACAAGAGCAGTTCCCCTGAATTTGAAGTAAGCTGGGAGAAATCTACCTGCCCCTGCAGCCTTATTCAATTTCAACAGTAGGATCTCATATCCGACTTCTGTGCGTGAGCGCGGATCCAATGAGACGGGCCACAGAGAAAAGCAATTAATATCCGAAAATGAGATAATAACTCAGGTTGATTAAATTGCCTTGCAAAGTGTTCGGCCCAACGCTCCAAGCGTTTTGACGGGCTGTGGATCACTGCCAACTCTCAGCGCGTATCGTCTTGCTAAGACCAGGTCTCCTGTTGCCTGTTTCCCGTATCAGACAGAATAACTTACAATGATTGCCAACGGCAGCGGCTGTTTCAATTTCCGATGCACGATGAGACCACTAGAGTTCGCGGTCTCTCTTTAGGCCAGCATGCAGTTTGCTCTGAGATTTTTGCGAGTCTCATTATGTTCGCTTCCAGTCGGAATACGCCGACGAGCATCCAGGAGTTCCAGAGACTGTGCACAGACCCACTGCCCAGGTTGGCACTTTGATTTGCCACATGAAGACATGCCTGCTGATAGTAAGATTTGGCGAATATACAACCAGTGGTCTTCGACGGTTTTAGGTGGGCGCTTAATCAGTCTAGGTGCCAGCGTAATTTGATACGCATTCAGAACATCTGACTTCGCCAATTGGCCGGTGTCTATGCGCACACAGCGACGGTGAGGACGTCAGCCGAAACACACCCGAACGCCGGCACACACAAGAGCCTAATCGGAGTCCACGCTCTTGCTCCAAATTGAGCGACAGATTTGGAGGCAGCCTCTCCAGCGATAAATGATAGAGATGTGTTCGATTTTCGTCCATGACTGCTGGGTGCCAAGTCACTCTTCTGCGAGTACTGTGTCGAAAATTAGTGCTTGTGAGAAAGAGACGAGCATGTTCACACAAGTGTACCAGCTGCTCACCGTTATCATTACGGGAACCTATACCATGTTGGCCACCCAGATGAAACTCGTCAGAGGACAAATTTCCAAGTTGGGTTTTCAGCTCCCCAGCAAGCATCACGGTATCCGTACTTGTCTGTAACGGAGGAGCGCGTTCAGTCGGAGATATAATTCATCTTTCATCGAATCAGTGCTACAGTTGGTGGGCGCATATGCCGTAATGACAAACAGGCATGTTTGTCCCCGCGTGAATTCGAAGCCTGGAACGAGTCAGCCAATCTGACGGCGCACATCCGGTTGTGGACCGGAATCCAATCAATCAGGGCAGCTTCAGCCCGGAGACTCAAAACAATGCCCACGAAGGATTGACAGGCGTTCGAAGCTGTGTCATCCCAGACAGGCGCAATGACAATGTGTCGCCAGTGTCGCGTGTGGGGGGTAGCAGGGAAAGCACGGAGCTCAAGACATGCAGGCGGGTTTCCGAGAAATCGTCGTGAACTGATCAGGTCTCTGATGCAAACACTAAGAGCGGCCTTCCCGCAGAGTTATCCACCCCACCTTTCGTTGACAGACTGATATCCTGCTGTCTCCACAGATGGTTGGGCCTCTGGAAAACCACATGGACCTTGCTGATCGCGAAATAACTTCTTCAGTGTTGTGACCACCAGAGGTGACACAGCTACCAAGGTAAGTGAACCGATCCACCAATTCCATTGGCTGTTCTCTGATGGCTAGAACCGGAGTTGTGTCGGCCGATCCTGCAACAGCGCTTTGAAGTATGAAGGCGCAAAGCACATGCCAAAGCGTGCAGCGCGACGCGTTAGTCTATCTAGTAGTGCGTGCATGGCCCCTGTATCAGACCCTTGAAAAACTGTCGTCCGCACACTCAGGGTTTGTCAGAAGATCACCTGGAAGAAGGTCCACTCTGGTGGATTCTGAAAGAACGGAGTCACTCATGATCATTTCGAGAACAAAGTTGAAGAGGAAAAGAGGTGTAGGACAAGCATAGCGAACCCCACTTGTCGTGGGGATCTCAGGAGACAGTTCCCCGTAGACCCTTACACGGCCTCGGGAGTCACGATAGAGGGACTGCGTTATAGAAACGGGTTTAGTCGGCACGCCCTTCATGGATAGGCTGTGTGACAACCTGGAGCGGTCAACGGAGTAGAAGGCGGTTCTCAAGCCAAGGAGAACCACCATAGCCGGTCGTCTGTGTGGCTCTGTTTTAACACTTGACAAAGAGAGACGATGTGGTCGATGCAACCACAACCCGGACGGAAACCAACCTAGCTCTCAATGATTCGGCTCTCACGATGAACAGCAACTCGCCGAAAAATGATGCACGTGAGAAAGGGAAGGAAATGGAGATAAGGTTAATGCACCAGCACACAATCGTACCGGCAAAAACCCAAGCGTGCATGCAGCTGATGCACGTGGCAAGGTAACTACTAGCACTTTAGAGATTAAAAACTGAACCAGCAATCAAAGGGACATAAGCGATATGTGGTAGTGAAACGCAAAGCAAGAAGATGCAGTTTTACTTGAAAATTCGCTGTAGCTGGTCATTCACATCGAATCCAGGGAAAAGTGGGCGTCCAGCATTGGACATCTCGGCAAAGATGCATCCTGCCGACCACACATCAATGGAGGTAGTGTAAAGTTTGGCACCGAGAAGGACGTCCGGAGGTCTGTACCACAAGGTGACTACCTGGGGAAAACGACAGATTAATGCATTGAGTTGGCTGCCAAGGTACACAAACATTTTAAGGACAATAGAGTTAAACGGTTTAAACGAGGCAAATAATAGAGAAACCGTTGGATATCCATCGATGCATTTGAGAAAATACTAGATGTTACCTCGGGACCATTAAGAAGTCCGGCTAAAAGCATGGTAATGTGATCTAATGTTTTGCAAGCAGTGGTGTGTCCTTGGGTTAAGGTGGACACTGTTTAATGATATAACTATGATGAAAGTCTACATCCGCCACAGACATGCCTGAAGTTTATTTCCGCGTGATATGCCGGGACCGCAGTGTCTAAGGCGAATGTTGGCAGGGTGTTTACTCTTTCAAATCAACCGTCACCCCCGGCTAACGAACACACGAACACGACAACTGTTCCTGGGGAGAAAGAGTGCACAGCAATCGTGAGAATAGCAAACTCAGAGTGGCTCCGTCGCGGAACGGCTTTCAACCCGGTCATCAACCTGTGTACGTCTGTTGTGCATGCATCCCCTTAAACCACATGAATGAAGTCCATTGCGGTCCCTATCCACATGCCTCAGACTAATTCTTTCCCACTGCGTATAAGAAGAGGGAGTGGTACAACAATGAGCCACATATGATGTCTTTTGTAGGCACACGCAGCTTGTGGCCACTCGGGTGTCGAAGCGAAAGGTAAACCGGAAACGGCTATTGCCAAGTACTACCATGAGAAATACTACTACCACTCCTGGATCAAACAGATCCACGTATTCGCCCCTCGTGAGTACGCCGGAGACGAGTGAGCAACAATGCAGGGGAGAGGCTGTAACCGAATCGATGGTTAGGCACGTATCCAACAAGTGTAACTGTCTATTTACAACGAGACTGTCTATTTACAATGGACCTTACCGTGGTGTGATGGTTTGTGCGCCTTAGTGATCACTGAGCTATGCTGGGTGGTGCTTTCTTGTACCTTCGGAGCCACACAAACCAGACTGGCCAATGATTAGAGGTTAGATGAAATCAGCCTCCTTGTCCTCTAGATTGCAGTTCGGAGTGAGGGTAGCTCGTTATTCCTTAAAACGGACTCCTTGTAACCCACTGCCAAACTCGCTGCTTTGCGGTCAGGTTTTTGAACCAAAGGATTTGGTTGAGAACCCTAACTGTTCTCTTGTCTAGACCCGGGCAACCTGACAGTATCCTGTCCACGAACTTACACACAAATCAATTATTGATGCCCTGGGCGTTGCAAAGAATAACAAACGGCGCTATATCTGCTACATCGAGAAGGGTGGATAACGGTTTGGATGCCAATGCGCAAGGCTTCCAGTCTCATTATTGCCCCTATAATGCTTTTCACACTTCAACCCGGCCGTCGCTGTTTTCTCCTTGGAGTACTATTTTTGCGCTATCTACTGCAGATACATCAATTTGGTCTTACTGTTTTCACATTTTTGTTTAGCTCGATCATTCTAAGGTCATCGATGTTGCGTTACTCTGCTGACTTGTCGAAATTGATCTGATACGCTGCGAAAAACGCGCTTTATGTCGCATGCAGTCACAAAGTCAGAAATGCAGTCGAACCCGCTTTATTGCTCACCATCGGGATATTGCAAAAGTGGGTATTAAAGCGGGGTGGTCAATTAACCGGTAGTCATTTTTGCAAAAGGGAAACAACCACTGAATTATTGTACAGCAGAGTACTGGAATTTTAACGTGCTAAGAACGATAAAATATGTACTTGTAACTAAGGCCTATGAAAAAGGCTTATTCAGAAGGGCACGATTTAAATTTAAAAACTATCACATAAAGCATCTTAACTGGATAGCTATAGAAATTTGCGCTACTGTATATTTTTGCTGGGAAAACAACCCACGTCAGTTGTACATTATTTTGAGCTGCTACTCCAGTCACTTTTGCACTGATGAAGTTCAATTTGGACAAGAAATTGTTGCCTAGCCCATGTAAAAGTCCATAGCTATACAGATCATTCACACAGTTCTTTGCTGTTGAATGCGGCAGGCGCTGATTGCTAGTACTCACGGAGGAATCGGCAGGTTATCCTCTGAGTCGCCGCCTTCTTTCTGCTCTAGTCGGTTCTCTAAAATTTCACAGACGATTTCATCTTCAACGGTTGTCAGATCTGAGGCGCATTCCACATCATTGTCACTGGTGACGAACTCTTCTGAGACTGCAAGCGCTGATCTCCTCCTCAGCGATGACGGCGTCACCAGAAAGTGCATCGGATGCTAGTCGACTGAAGCCAGTATGCGGAAAGCGAGTTTTTAGTGCTGCACTGGTAACCTGTCTCCAACATTTTGAAATGAACTAAATTGCATAGAGAACAGAAATCTCAGCGCTGACATCCACCGCCGACGATGAGCCAGATAATATGTTTTCGATGTGATAAAGAATTCGATCCACAATGTCCTTCCCGTAACGGATTTTCGGATTCATAAGCACATCTTGATCCATGGGTGGAAGAAAATTGGTCGAGTTTACCAGCGAAATTACAGTTCGGATGTTTTTCAGGCCCTCTTCCTGTGGACGCGCCGTGTAATTATCCAAGAGCGACATAATTTTTCGGCCACTTCGGCCTAGATCCTTGTTTTATTTGAGGACGCACCCGGTGAAAAGTATTTCCGTCATTCACGCATTTTGTTAGCTTTGTAGGTTACGGGAAGTGTGTCTACGTTCATGCCGTTAAAACATTGTGACTTTTTATTTTTCCAATCAAAACCAGCTTTCTTTTATCCGTGCCTGACATACTCGTGCAACAAGGGAGAGTGATCCTATCCATAGCATTTTTCGATTCTCTGAGCATGTCTGCAAAAAAAACATAGAGCCTTCTGGAGTTGCATGGTAAAAAAGACGTGTTTCGTCTTTATTTTACACGTTGTCGTCAAAAATGCATGTAAAAGTTCAGGCAGTCGATCTTTCAGGCAATGTTCACAGACTGCTCTGTCCACGAAACCATTTTCGCCATGTGCACGTATATACACTATTTGATTTCTATTCTTCCATCTTTGCAACCATTCTACTGTAGCAGCCAAGATTTTACCAAGTCTTTCCATGAATTCTTCTGCATTTTCCTTCATAAGCTGGCCTGTAACTGTTTGGTTGCGCTCAAAAACCGATATCATCCAGTCTTCCAATACACTTGCAGCTTCTTCATCCTTTCCACATCACTTCCTTTTCTGAGAGCTTGCAGTGCCATGCGAGAAATTCTACCGGAAATCCTTTTCGCTAGCAATCAACCTGGCTAGATAACTACGACAACGTGGCCTGCGAGGTTTTTGGTGGCTCAGTTTTAATTGTGTATAAAACGTCCAACTTTTACATCAAGGTCAAATCCTTACCGTTACTGGTCATACTTGTGTGTAATCAAGAGAGTACTGACAAATGCGGAGCGGAATATCCGAGTTTGCTCAGTTCTCGAGTTTTGTGCAGGACCGAGGGTTTGCCTACAGCCGAATGTACATTTACCCTGCTCGTGTATTGATTGACTTCTGACCTGTCAATAAGGTCGCCGACATCTTTGGTTTTCTTGACTCGATCGGACTGGCAAGCCGTGGGGTAATCGTAATAAACGATAGTCGGAGCGAGGGCGTAAAATTGACAAAGTGACAAGAGCACAGCGCACGCAGCTGGATACTTAAGCGGTGGGATGACTCCGGCAATGGGCAGTTAGGCGGTGAAAATCTGGCATAGTATGGGAAGAAGTTGTATTTTGAAAAACTGGGAAATAAAGTCGGTGGGCTATAAACCGCGTGGGCAATAAAGCGGGTTTGACTGTACTATCAGACGAATTAAAAAACCGCTTTGGAAGAATGTGAAAGCACCGTATTGGTTGGTAAGCCGAAATCAGACGCTGTCCAATTAATAAAGCGCAAATTCCGCTAATTATCTTTAGCAATGTGCACTCTTTACATGGTGAAAATGTCGAACTCAGCATCATTATGCAGCGTAAGGAAGATGTAGATGCAAGTTTTATAAGGCTACAAGAAATTTGGTTACATCCCTGATATAGATGGTGAGGCTATTCAACTCGATAGATAACGCCTCGCGAGGTCCGATCGTCCTTGGAAAACCGCAGAAGCGGGGAGGCATTGTCATTTACGTGAACCAATCATGGCGTAATCCGACTACCTTGCTCTCTATATAGTCAACATCAAAAGTTTGCTGTCATTGAAACGATTGTAAGCCGAAATTTCTGAGTGGATTTCTTTCTGTCGTCATCGTAGACATCTACACGGCCTCTGACACGTAATTGAGTGAGTTTAACAAGTGTGATACGACGTTCATAAAGGCAGGTGGTCTGAAAAATACGGTATCTTTCGAATCTGGGCCTGATTCATGGTTGGAGATTGTTTTCATAAACAAAACTTACTTGTTTTCTATTTAAGGCGAGCTCCTCTCGGCAACACAAACCATTGTGTCCTGAAGATATGACCAAATATTTACAACAAGACCAAAATTGTGCCTTTGACTAAAAAGCCCTTCAAAACCATCAGACGGTGAGACTGTTTAAAAGAGAATATTGCAAAACTCCACGCGATGCTGACTTTTTAGTTACCACGGACGAAAACATATCGTTAGAATGTGAACATTTTACCGAATATATCAACTTCTGCTTTGATCTATGCTGCGCCGTTGAGACTATTCACCTAGGCATGGACAGACTCTCTTGGCCACTAGTGAAGCAACTTGGGCGAGGTCGAGGCTGCATAGCGCACACATTCACATTGCATCAATTGTTGGAGTACCGACACATACATTGGCGAGTGGTCACTGACCACTCACTTCTGTGACCAGAAGTGAGTATTCAACGGAGCGCGCATGAACTACCTCGATGGCCACTGGCTTCTTTGAAGGCGTATGAGACACTTGGCTGTCAACGGCCTTCATGCTGTTCGGCGAGTATGGTGATCCACGACATTTCTCCTAGTGCTTGTGCTGCTTCATTCGGGCTTCGTGAGCAACCCGAGCAGTGTGTTGCTGCTCGAAAGCCGTGTTATCATCATCATGGTAGCCAGCTCCAAACGATATGTAATATAAG